TAGTAACGATAATAATAATAACGAAAATAATAATGATGATAATAATAATAATAATAATAATAATAATAATAACAATGATAACAATAATAACAATAACAATAATAACATTGATAGTAATGATAACAATGACAATGATAATAATGATAATTATAACAATTACAAAAATAAACTAACAATAACAATGATGATAATTGTACAATAATAGTAAGATTACCAACAATGACGACATCAACAATAATGATACTAATGATAATGATTTGATTACCATCACCCTCTTCTTCACCATCGTCATCATTTTTGCAACACAGCGACACCAACACCACATAACGAGACAGCTAATACCAATAACAGTGATGACATTAATATTCATAACGATGATAATGACAACAGAAACAATAGTGAAAATGACTATAAAAAAATAACCATACACAATAGAACTTTCTCCCATAACAACTACTTATACCTATAATGGCACCTTTGCAACTATTACTACCATTACCATCACTTAAACTACCACTTTTTGTTAAAACTACAACTACTATTGATGGGAAAAAAGGAATATAACTTACAGAGAGGCGAGAGCTGGCAACTCTCTAAGGACGGCGCCCGCTATGGTCGTCAAGGGATTTCCGTCCAAAATGCTACGTTGGGGAGGAAGACAGTGCTATAACGGTTCGAATTTCAGAATTTTCGAATTTTTTGTTTTAATCTCATTGTTTATTTCTTTTGTCATAATCTTATATTTAGATTTGATTTTTTGAATAAGAATGTAGATTTTTGTGTGCATGGGATATAGATGGATAAATATCAGTAAAATGGAAGGAAAATTATACACAGACAGATATTTATGATGGGAAACGCACATGTAGGACTTACGTACATACACGCACATATCTGGGAGCAAGGACACGTACAAAAATAAAACAAAAAATAATAGCTAATAAAATGAAATAAAAAATCGCTACAACACATGTGTGTGTGTGAATAATGCCTCTATGTACAAATGTATGTATGTATGTTTTTGTATATGTATGTATTATGTATATATGACGTATAGACGTGTGTATGTATAAATGTCTGCGTGTATGTGAATATATATGTATGTATATATGTAATTACCTATGTATATATTTATGTATGTATATATGAAAGTATGAACGTCCGCATATGTGTAATCATGTACATATGTATATGTATATGTATGTATTTACATATATACATATATAAGGATGCATCCTGCAGTATACATACATAAACATATCTACTTAAGCATATATGTCCTTACATCCACATGTATGTACACACACACACATACACACACGCACGCACGCACACACACACACACACACGTATTAAAAGTACTTGTACGTATTTAAATTCACACACACGTACGTATTTAAATCCACACCCACACACCCACATATTCAAATCCACACACAGACACGTACGTATTTAAATCCACACCCACACACCCACATATTCAAATCCACACACACACACACGTACGTATCTAAATTCACACACACAGGTACGTACGATCTATATATATATACATATTATTATTATTATTTTTTTTTTTTGGCAATAAAACGACCGCGTTTACTCACAGCGTCCTTAGGGAAACGAGACCAGCGAAACTTCCTTCGTCGAGGTGGCTAATCCTATTGTAATTAAGTTCCCTGGAAGGATAACCGACTTAATTACTCTTAATAAGGACGTGCATTTAAGTTAATAGAGGGGGGGGGGGAGAATGGGGGGGGGGAAGGAACAGGATGGGAGGAGGGGAGTGGGAGTGAAAGGGTATTGGAGAGTGGGAGGGAGAGGGAGAGAAAGAGAGAGGGGGGGAGGAGGAAAGAGAGAAAGGTAGAAAGAGAGAAAGAGAGAAAGAGAGAGAGAGAGAGAGAGAGAGAGAGAGAGAGAGAGAGAGAGAGAGAGAGAGAGAGAGAGAGAGAGAGAGAGAGAGAGGGGGGGGGGGGGGGGAAGGAAAGGAAAAGAAAGGAAATGAGAGGAGAGAGAGAAAGAGAGAGAGAGAGAGAGAGAGAGAGAGAGAGAGAGAGAGAGAGAAAGAGAGAGAAAGAGAAAGAGAGAGAGAGAGAGAGAGAGAGAAGTACTTACAAATCAACGAGAAATTTACTTACAAACCAACGAGAAATTTACTTATACAAACCAACGAGTAAAAGTACTAACAATCGACGAGAAAAGTACTTACAGATCGACGAGAAAAGTACTTACAAATCAACGAGAAATTTACTTACAAATCGAAGAGTAAAAGTACTTATAAACCAACGAGAAATTTACTTAAAAATCGAGTAAAAATACTTACAAACCAACGAAAAATTTACTTATACAAACCAACGAGAAACTTACCTAGGTACCAACGAGTACTTACAAATCGACGAGTAAAAATACTTACAAATCGACGAGTAAAAGTACTTACAAATCGACGAGTAAAAGTACTTACAAATCGACGAGTAAAAGTACTTACAAATCGACGAGTAAA